ACACACACACACACACACACACACACACACACACACACATTTTAAAAAATACAATCTTTCGATCCATTTAATTTCATTTGTCATTAATAACTAATCTCTGAGATAGAAAATATTATTCCTGTTTGTAAGACAATAAAGGCTCAGAGAAAATAAGTTGCCCAAGACCTTTACAGTCCTAGAATTTGAATTCTTGTCTAACTCTGCTGCCAGTGTTTTCTCCACATGGCAGTAAGCACTTTTGGCCTATCTGGATTTAGCAGTGTAAGGGCTAACTGGCTGATCTGTCACTGAGAGGTTAGGTTGGTTTTTATCTGCTGGGATCTTAATTTATTATGTACTTCATGGGTAATCATTATTAGGGAGTTTTGGAACTGAGGACCACAGTGTAAAATCCATATTCAGATTTGCTTTCTTTTGTCCTGTTTCACACTTTTTTGTTTATTTTTCACGAAGATATTTTATTCTTTTCCTACATGGTCTCCATCTCATTATGCAGTCTTTTGCTAAGGCTACATCTGTCTCATTGCCATGCTCACAAATTATCTCAGAAGAGCAAGAAACTCCTTTTCACAGAAATACCATGAGAGTGCTATGTTCTACTTCTGCTGCTGTCTTTCTCTAGCAACCATAGAGAGCTGAATTCTACCTCCATGCCACAGCTGAAACTGTCAAAAAGCACGGTGGAGAGTATTTGAATAGTATTTGAAAACGTTCATTAAAATAATGTTTGTTTCATATCTAGATCTTATTATTTTTAACTCACAAATTAAGTAAGAGTTATGATAAGAGATGGGAAACTGAGGAATAGGTTTAGCTAATGCCAGAATTTGGTAGGAATGTGGAAAACGTAGACCAATATCTTGTGGTTATTTAAGAGAAGAAACTAAAGGATATCTTTCACCTACTGTATTTATACATTTCTTCTACAGTAAATAGAAGATCCAAGTTTTTGAATCATAGGAAAGGCATAAATTAAATTCAGTGATACACTTATGACATTAGATAGAAATAATTTTTCACAGAAAGTATGTGAATTGTCTCTTTATGTTTAAAATTTTAACCTCAATAATATTACCTTTAAATATGTCTGTTTTTTCTCTCAGTGGTGTACTTGTAAGTCCTGCTTCTTAAAGAGGGTCTACTAATTCTTGAGAAACAGCATTTCATATTTATATTTGTATGTACATGTTTATATATGCATATATGTGTATAATTTTAATTATTTTTAAAAGTTTATTCAATGACTAGCATATTGATAATTATCCATTACACATATGGTACTATCAAAATAGTGCAGGAAAGCATAAATTACTCCATAGCAATATTTTTATGGAAAATGTTTTCTGAGTTCCAAAAAAACTCTCAGGAAAATTTGTGCAACAACACCCCTTTTATAAATTTCCAGTGTCTTATGGGTTGTAATACCCTTTTCAAGCACACATGTTTTGTAAATATAAAAGTTGTTTTCAGAGCCAGGCATGATGGTGCATGGCTATAATCCCAGGACACAGAAGGCTGCAGCAGTAGGACTGCAAGTTTTAGAACAGCCTTGGCTGCAAAGCAAGACCTTGTCTCAGAATGAAAAATAAAGAAGCCATTTTCATAGCACTTGTTTCAATACAGGAAGATAATAATTTGGGGGAAACAAGTATCTTCTAGAAGCACTAGCTTTCAAAAATACCTAATATAAACTTAATTTAAATTTATACACTTTGAAATTATCTGAGATGGAATCTTGAAAACTTAAAGATTTAATTTGTTTGGATTTTTCCCATTTATTAAATACTTGAGATTGTAAACAAGCAATTATTTCCAAAATTTAGGTTATGCTGAAATGTCAAATGACGTGTGCATGGAAATCATTATAGGGGAAGAGGAAGGAACACTCCTTGAGAATCAGCTTGAGAACTCTGATGTTAATAAAACAGGTTTCCCTGTTGTCTATCCTGCATCATATGGTAGGAAACTAGTATTTTTACCTAAGTACATAAAGCTTGTATTTGCTATGCCTTTGAGCAATTAAATATTCTTTGTCATAATGCCACTGTGTTGGCTAATAGAATAAAATGTTCTGCTGTGAATTGATTCATCTCCAGTTATTTTACATATTTTTTCTATCACAAATCTTATACTACTAAACCTTATTTAATGAATGTTTGTAGAATCTGTGTTAAATCCTACCTGTATAAGTGAGCACCGTAAAATGTTTTATTTTCCTAAAATAGGAGTATCCTTTTAAAATTAATTCTTCCCCTTTAACAAAAATGTATTACCGTTGTTGACGCACAAATAATAAAACTGAGGTTCTGGGAGATAAACAATTTTTTTTTAGAAAATATGTTCATTTATCAAGCTTTTTCTTACCCCATTCTTTTGTTAATCTCATTTTTCTGTAATATATATATTAAAAGCTTCTGATGTACATTGCATTTTTTAATCCAAAGTTGTTTTTCTCAAAGTTTCATTCATTCAACAGTCACACATGTACTGAACATCTTCATTGCTAAGTGTACTCTGCAGGAATAGCTACTTAATTTCACTTAAAATGTAAAACTGTTCTAGATGTCATCAGTTCTAATGAGGCAGACAGTAGTCCTTATTTTCAGTAGAGGATATTATCTAACTTAGGTAAGTTTTCAAAAACAAGTATATTTTGTTGAGAAATTGGGGCAAAAGTAAATTTTTATATATTAAAATATGATCTGGTAGTAGTTTCTCTATATCAGTTTATAACTAGTCCCTTTTTATAGATGAAAGAAGAGTTTCCCGAAGATATGAAGACTGTCAAGCAACAGGTGAGAGAGCATTGTAAAGGAGATATAAATTATGTGTTTTGTTTTATGTACTAGTTGCTAAGTAAAAATGTTAGCTTATGTCTGTAGACATATTAGTTGGACTTCACCTATTACAGATGTTATATAGGAGTTTTCCTCTTTTTAACAGGCAGCATATATAAATGCAATGTGCATTAATTTGTGAATGAAATCCATTTTAGGTTTCCCTGATAGTACAACTTACCACATGGATCATAAAAGGTTGCTATGGAAAAATTATACAATTTACTTGAAGAGAAAAGGAACAATTGTTCATATCAACCATTTATTAATGTCATTCTTGGAGACTGCTCAAATTTCTATGGCAAACATCTAACATGAATATATAATAAATTTGTATCTCAGCTTAATAACTTGTCTATTTTAACACACTCTATTTAGTGTTATTCCATGGTCAGTTTCTTTTTTTTTAAGGAGATTTTTTTCTCATGACAAAGTATATAGTTGTTCTGTTTTTTTTTTTTTTCCTACTGGGCAGTATTTGACTCTAAATTTTAATGTAGTTTTAATAGAAATCGACAAAAGACATATATTAGCATATATGCTAGTCTGACAGTTTTGTAGAGTTAATTTTTTTTTTTGTTTTTCGAGACAGGGTTTCTCTGTATTGTTTTGGAGCCTGTCCTGGAACTGGATCTGTAAACCAGGCTGGCCTCAAGCTCACAGAGATCCACCTGTCTCTGCCTCCTGGGTGCTGGGATTAAAGGCATGTGCCACGAATTCCGGGCAGAGTTAAATTTTTAATGTATGTCTTCGTTATAGTTCTATTGCTGTGAAGCACTGTGACTAAGGCATCTTTTATTAATTGGGGGCTTGATTAACAGTTTCAGTGGATTTGTCCATTATCATCATGTCAGGAAGCATGGCATCAGGCAAGCAGGTAGACTTGGCGATGAAAATTTATATCCTGATCCACAGACAGGCAGGCCAGCAGAGAGAGAAACTGTGCTTAGGGTATGGTTTTGCAAGCCCACCTCCACCTTCTACAAGGCCACACTGCCTCCAACAAGGTCACAGCTCCTTATCCTTCCCAAACAGTTCTGCTAACTGGAAACAAAATATTCAAAACTATGAGCCTATGGGGGCTATGCTCATTCAAAACATCACAATGTATTTGTACAATATGATATAGATTTATGAGAACTTGTTTCATTAAATTCTTTACTTTGTATGCATTGGTCACATGGCAGCAAATTACCTGCCATGTATATTTTAAACCCTGAAGTCAGTCTAAATAACTTCTGTATCATAAAAGATACATGTATCATCTATTTTTCATTTAACTACCATGACTGTATTGGTTCACTTAGTTATATATGTTCTTTGCTGAATCCATTTAACTTTGTAAGATTCTATTCATAAGAAGTTGCTCTGATTCCATAATTTTGTATAGTTTCTTAAAATAAAGTTTCTTATGTTACATTAATCTTACCAGTTCATTCCTTTAGGATGGTCATGTTGAAATAACTTAATTTTGTATACTATCTTACTCAGTGTGCTTGCATGTACACAAGAGGATATGAATAAAACTAAGGAAAATGAGAAAATGTTTATACTTTCTGAAATTTAATACCATAACTTAGCACCATGTCACATCAAGTAGTTTACCTAACAAAACCCTGAAACAATAAAAATGTGATTGAATTGTTTGTGTTTTTGTTTTCAGGAAACACTTTTGACTCGGCATTAGAAAACAGAAGCACCACAGCAGCACAGTTCCTTCAAATTTGTGATAGCATTAACACAAATAAAGTACTTAAACAAAAAATCAAGAAGAGGAGAAGGGGAGAAACAAGGCAGTGGCAAACAGGTAGGTTATTTCTGCTTTAAGAATAGTATAGTAATTTGAGATGTACAGTTTTGTGTAATGCAAGGAAGAAAGTCAATGTTTGCAAGGTAGTTATTCGCCCATATAGCAGTGTATTTTCTATAGATAACTGCATATATATTAAGATTTATTTTAATTTGGTGTGTGTGTGTGTGTGTGTGTGTGTGTGTGTGTGTGTGTGTGTGTGTGTGTGTGTGTGTG